TCATTTTTTTTATTGATTAAAAATATTTTAATGTATATATATCATAATCGATTACAATGTGCATTATATATATTTATTTGTAATTCAGATTATAAATTTTTAAAATCTTCACAAATTTTGCCTAATTAAGATAGTTTATAAATTAATTAAATCTTACTTAATCTAAAGGAATACAAAGCCTGGCTAGCTTGTGAGATTTCTTCAGGAGATAATATATATGTTCGACTAGTGGGAGTAGAAGGATTGACCAGCGAGAGAATATGAGATTTAGGCAACACTAAAATATCATCTTTCAGATGAAATTTAAATGAGGCTGAAGGTCCACAAGGGTGTAAAATTTTTACTTCTTCATTTGTATCATTTTTATCGATTATATATCCTAACCACCATTTATCTTCATATACACATGTTATATATCCATTAATATTTTAAAATATAATTTTCTCATTTAAAAACGAAACTTGTTTTATATTATATTTTTTGGAATTAGAATATATTTTGGTTTTTAGTCTATTTTGATCAATGAAATAACCCGTGAATATTTTGGGTACCATGAATGGGCAGTGCAGAATCAAATCTTTTACGAAGGGCTAATTCCTCTTCGATATATTCTTGATTGGATACATATTCAAATTGAATTCCATTAATATTTTCTTTAGCATAAATATATAATTCTAATGGGGTTAGGATTTGATTTTTATTTGGCCTTTGAAGACTAGCTCTTGCAACTAATCTTTTGACAGTTCCTCCGATACCGTCACATGCATTTTTGCCGTGAGCAGTGGCAAAGAAATGCCATTCGGCAGGAATATTAAAATCGTATTTATGAAGGCATATGTTCAGAAAATTTTTGCAATTCTTGTATTGAGACGCGGCTTCATCTGAAAAATATATTATTTTTTCTGGTTTAGAATTAAATTTGGCTGTTAAGAATTTAATAAATTTTTTTTGGTAAAGGTGGACTTCACTAGTATTATGGCTTAATGATTCGGACAAAATAACAAAATTTATATTTTTTAATTCTTCTCCAGATTTATAATATGCTACAAATGGATGTATAGTGGCCTCGTTGTTCCAACGAAATCCCTAAACTTCATCTAGTAAATTGAAGGAATAATTCTCTGAATAATCTAGAATTGTTAAAAATTCCCCATCTTTTAAATTTTCTTTGGAATTCTTCAAAAATAAACTTTGTGTTTAGCTATAAATGAGTGACGCAGTAAAATTTGAACTTTTTCTAATAGATATTCGATGAAATCATCAATGGACTTTATAATAGTTTCAAGATTTGCTCTATCCACAGTGATCCATTGTTTAAACGTGACATATTCTATACGATTTCTCTGAAACAACTGGTATAATTGGCCCTTAAGAGATTCTATACCAGGGCATTGATCACAATTTGTTAAATAACATTTTGGCTGAGATGGATTACAAATAATTCGCGCCAAAAGATAGTTATAAGAATTTATACAGTAATCTTCTCCTGCTGTAATTTCAGCTATTACATTTGTCATTAATTTCACATTCTGATGAATGGCGCACACAAACAGTGTGTGTGCCACTAGCTCCAACTAATATACAGTTTTTTGGTCTAAGTTCGGCAAATTTAGAGAATCCAATTGATATATTTGGGTATTCTTCCTTAAACATCTTGAATATTTCTTTAAGATTATTTAATATAAGTCTTTGGACTGATTCTTTCTCGCCTTTAACAGATACACAACCTTTTATTCCAGTCATGAGTCGGCTTTTATCAGAACTATAATTTTGTTATTTGTATTGCTTAAAAAAATTTTCAAAATCTTTGAAATTTTCTTTATCACTGGTTATTTTAATAATGTTAGATAATGAGAATTTCATAACATTCTTGGTCTTGATGGGTATGACTTTGTCTGGGGAAGGGGGGTGGAGGGTTGGGGGTAGGCCTGGTAATTAATGTGATTTTCGATTTTTCCCTTAATAATTTTCCAGCAATCCTTTAATCCTGCTTTTTTGTTCGTGTGCTAGTCCCATTTTATAATTATTTTTAATTTATATTGAAATATTAAAAAAATTATTAAAATTTTTTATCCTGCGAATATCTCAGGGGAATATGGTTTATAAAGTTATATAATCGAATTTTATGATATATTATACATTAAAATATTTTTAATCGATAAAAAAATGAATTTTAACATATTAAAACTATTATATATAGCGCCATCTATTTTTTTAAAGTATAAAAATAGCGATATTTTTTTAAATAAATATCCAGCCATGCTAATTGTTGAAGAAATTATTAAAAAAATAGTAAAAGGATAACATTTCTTAAAAAAATTAAAAATTGGAGATCATATTCATTTCGAAATATTAATTTCAAATTTTCAACTGACCATAAGATGACCCATATTTTAAAAAAAATTAATTTTGATGTTTTTGCCATAATTATTAACTTAGCTATTGATATTAGATTCAATATTTGATCATATTTAGTTTTAAATTAAAAACTAATTATTTAACATCAGTAAAAAGCAAAAAAAGGCGTTTTTTGGACCTTTAACCCCGATTATCTCCGCTAATATAGTTGCTAATGCGCTAAAATTTTCTTTATAATCTAATGGGAACATATATAACCACTCTACAACTTTTTATCGAAATTGAAAGGGGTCGGCCGAAAATCTTGATTTTTTTGCTCATTTCACATGGAATGACCCTATACTTCTAATGATGAAAATGAAAATATTTCAAAAAACACAATCTACTCTTAATTTTAATATGCCCTCTACAAGCACAAAGTCATTAATACCATTGGATAAATTTTATTGTTTATATAATACTCTTATATTTAATAAAATGATAAAACAAATCAAATTAGGTTAAAAAATATGTTTTTAAACAAATAAAAAGACCGGTCTTTTTATTTAGGACCACGATCTGGATCGATTTTTTTCTTAAGGACCGTGGTCCGGTCCGAGGGTATCGTACCAGTCCGGACCAAAGACCGAACCGTGACCTTCACTATCTCAGAATGTATATTAAAATCTTATTCAATGCCACAAATAGTATCCTCAAATATAAAGGCAACGGAAGATATACCAATTATAATATAGCTGGGCGAATAATTATATTTTATTTTAGCATAGTAGTGCGATAATTTTGAATAGTTACATATTTTAATTTTCATTATTTTCTGTTCATTATAAATTGCTATTTTATAATTATATAAATGTGTTCATAATTATTATTTTTTAATTAAAATTTTAAATAAGCAAAAAAAGGTGGTCGCTTATCAATGAAGTGGGATAGTACATCCGAGATTTGTAGAATTGTATGGTTTTTCAAATCCTAATTGGGCCTATCCTAAAATAAATAAAAATTACAATACTGGACTGTTTTTAAAATATATCTAAATAATATCAACTACCAGTAGAAAAAGATTTATTCGCGCTCAAATTTTAATTTCTCTACATACAAAATACTAGTGATGTTAAGGTGATTAGTTACAAGTTTGGCTAAAAAATAACTGTAACTAGTTATATTTTTAAAATTGTAACTAGTAATTGTAACTAGTTATAATTTTTGAAATGTAACTGCCAAAAGTAACTAGTTACTTTTAAAGATATATTCAAATAATTAATTTTATTTTTAATATGTTGTGATAAATTAATTTAAATTAAATTTATTTTTTAAATTAAATTTATTAATTTAAAATTTTGTGAAAATGTTTGATTGTTATAATTTCCCGTTCAAATTGATTTTTTTTTCTTAAATTGTTACATTACTGCTGGGCTTCATTATTTTGTAAGCAAATTCAAGTAATTTAATAAATTTTAATATTATATTTATTTACAAATGTAGCACAATATATTTTTTTCCGTCAAGTAACAAGCATTGGAACTTCATATCATACGTAATAAAAAAAATTTTAAATTTAGTATAAGGAAAAACAAAGACAGATTATTTTAGAATTTAATATTAAATTATTAATCATTACTTACAAGAACCAAGTCTAACAAAAATATCATGTTATAGGTTTAATAATCTTTATGATAATGACAACATCATGCAATTCTTCACCCTTTATTTAAAACTGACTGGCCTTGGATTAGGCAAAAAAGGAGGAAATTTTAAATTTAATAAATACCTTAATACCTCAAAGTGAATCCCAGACGAATGAATCATGCTCAAAACCAACATCACTTGATGTAGTTGGATTTTTTGACCTAAAGCGCCAAAATATTCTGGATAATGAACTTATAGAAAACTTTATCAAATCTAATAACAACACTTTTTCTTTATATAACGATTTTCCAAAGTTAAAAATACTCTTTATTAAATATAATGTTGTTCTAACATCAAGCGCTTGTTCAGTCTAGGTAAGCTCATTTTTGGAGATAAACGAGCAAGTCTCCTAGATAATAACCTTGAAATTAATTTGTTGTTAAAAGCAAATAAACATTTATTAGATTCTAATTTTTATGAAAAATAAATGTTTTTTTTTTCAACGCAAAAAATATTCAATTTTGCGATATTTTTTTATATAAATAAATTGTATATTATTTTAAATAACTGATTATACTTTGTTTATCCTAATTTTTTTTATATTAAATAAATGCATTCAATAAATAAATAATGCGCATATGAATGATGTATAAAGTAAGTAACTAGTTACTTTTGAAAATAACTGTAACTAATAACTAGTTACTTTTGTAAAAATGCAACTAATAACTGTAACTAGTTATGTTTTTGCCAATGTAACAAGTAACTGTAACTAGTTATGTTTCAAAAGTAACTTTTAACATCACTACAAAATACAGCCAAAATTATTTAGAATGACCAAAAATAATTTTTTTTTACTTAAGCCACCACCACATGATCAGTAAAACTTCGAGTTTGGTCTTAAAATTCTACCTCTGGGGTCTCTGTTATACCTATTAGGAGTTAAGTATTTGGACATCAAATAATACCTTACGATTAAATATATTTCTTTCAAAATTATGTTAATTATCTATTTCAAGTCTTTGGCGTACTTTTACCTTCAAAACTTTGAAATGGCAGAAACGAAAATCAGGGAGGCTCTAAAAATTGAACCCACGTCTCATAAATCATGGTATTTATTTTACTTGTAAATATATTAATTTCCAATAATTTCTTTATTCAAAATATATTTTAATTTTCACAATCAAAATCTCATAATGATATCTCATAATAATATAATTTTTTTGTTTCACAATATATTTCAAAAAATCAATTCAATATTCTTCATTTTATAAAATCCCCGACTGAATCAAATTATTAACATCAAATTAAAATAATTTTCACATTTCCATAAAACATGAACATTAAAATTTTATCTCGTATAATATATTTTTCAAAAGTCAAAAGTAAAAAAGTAAACAAAAAAAATACCAAGTGTTTGAATATCAATTCTCGATAAAATAACTAATAAATAAAATATATTCTTTTTGATTGACATTTTATAATATATAAGTACAAATATATATCATAATAATACAAAACTACAACACGCCCACCCTTCAAAAAACCAGATACCATAAATTATCGTTCTTTAAGGACATTGATTATTTCCTCGTCATTTATCGAATCTTATCTTTGAACATCATTGACTTTTAACTCTTAATTGTCTTCTTTCGACATGCAGATTATAATAATTAATATATTTTGTTTGTTTTATAATACATATAAATTTGGATTCAACAATCCTTTATAATTATTTTCTTTTTCTTAATGTTCAATTATAAAACAAATAATTGACTACAAACAAAATAAAAGAATACAAATAGGGATAAAAAATAATTTATAATTATCACTATTAAAATTACATATATATTTTCGTTATATCATTAAGAAAATAATATGAACCACAAAAAAAAAATATACTAAGACATTTCATATAACAAAAATACAAAATTACAATATATATAATATGCCACTACAATCATATTTTTTATGTTACAAAAAAAAATATGAAGATATGCCGATAGATAAAAAAAATATTTTAATTTATAATTATAACTATAGATAAAAAAAAATATTTTAATTTATAATTATAACTATTAAAACTATAAACGATATCATCACATCACATTCCATCCTTTTTTAGAACTTTTTTATTTTACATAATTCTTCACTAGGTCAAAGTTTAAAGCCATTTATTGTCCACCGACTTTTATTTAAGAGTTTTTTCTTTATCACATAATATTAAAAAAAATTTTAATTATACATTGTTTCACAACAATGTCTCTTTAAATTAAAAAAAAAATACACACATTTTTTTTTAAAAAATTAATCTACACAAAAGTTTGTATTTCATTGAACTTTCCAATACCATACCACATGGTATTATTCACATGAATTTATTAAAGTCAATGTTTTTTTATTTTATTGATAACAATTTAATTCTTCAATTAAAATATTCTTCTCTATTGATTAAGATAAATAATACTTTTCTTCCCAGATGTTATTTTTATTAAAACTTTTATTAACTTTTAATTATGCTTTACACAATTTTATATTGACACTAAAAAAACGAATACTGATTACTTTCATTTTCAATCATTACAATTTTATTCATTATATTTGAATCACCATTAATATCATTAGGACAATATTTATAAAAATTTTCATAAGACATGATTGAAATACTTGCCCCGGTATCAAATAACATTTCAACCATTTGTCCACCAAATTTTAAATTAATATGAGGACATGAACTCTGTTCCTTTGCTCTCTCAGTTATTAAAATTTTAGGCAATTTAATCGGTTGAATGATATTTATTTTAATCTCTTTTTCAATACAATTAATATTCATACCTAAATTCATCTCAGAATTTAAAGGTCTCTGAATCTCATTTATGTTTTATTTAAAATTTCCCTTGGATATATATCACTCATTTGATTGCAATAATCCTTTTTATTCAGATTATTGTTTAATTTAAAATTTTTTATTTCACCAAAATGACAATAAAAATTTCCAACATTACAACTCTTTTTATTCAAGTTAAATTTCAATGTATAATTCTCATTCCCATGATGATTATCTATTTTAATATATATCCACAAAATTTTTAATAAAATTATATATATCACAAAATTTAATATTTTCAAAAATTAATTTATCTATTTTTATATGATTCTCTTTCAAATCATATAGTCACTGTGACCCACTCACACTTTGAATACAATGTATAGCAATATGTCCCATTTCTTCACATTTGAAACACATTCTATCATGATCTGTATTATAATTTTCAATTTTATCCACATTTTTAATAATAGGATTTTGTATATTTCTAACCACCGGTTGTAACACTACCGAGGTTCTTTGCGGAAATCCACTTTTAAAATTGGCTTCTTTCACCATGCAATTTCTTTTTATATGTCCTACAAAACCACATCTATGACACACTATGTCATTTTTTTCACTTGGTTTTGCAGTCACATTTTCATTAGTTTTTCGGTCTCTTGAATAACAATTTTTACTTATATGTCCTTTTTTTCCACAAAGTTCACAACTTTCAATCACATTATTACTTTTGATTTTTAAGTTGGAAACTTCTCTGAACAAATTTTTCATATTTTCTTTCATTTCTCTAATTTCACGTAAAATTATAGATTCGTCGATACTTTGTCTCAAAGTATTATCTGTTTTATTATTTTTCAAAATTTCTTCTGGCTTTTTACTCAAAATTTCAGAAATTTTCTCTTTAAATTCAATCACAATTGAATCTATTTTTTTATTGATATCCTCCGATATTTCAATGTTTTGAAGAAATTTAAATACGTCACTCGTATCTAAATTTTTATCATTTTTTTCTTCAACATTTTTTTTAACATTTAAATTTTTTAATTCTAACAAAATTAAATGTAAACTATTTTTTATATCTTCATTAATATCTGAAGATTTCACCAAAACTTTAGGAATTATATTTTCAGTATTTGTATTTTTTATATCACTTTCTCTATTTTTAAGAGATCTTCTTTTTATTTTCCTTACTAATTGTTTCATTATAATTAAGATTACATAAAACACAAAAAAAATTAATGCAGTAATGACATTATTGGTCATATCCACTTTATTAAAATTTGAATTAAAAATTTTATTAAAATTACTCTTAAAATTTGACATTTTATTAATATTATGCTTATTATAATTATCATTAAAATAAAAAGCCATTTTTTTATTAATTATCCAAAATTTAAAATTTTATCTTATATATTTCTAATTTTAATCCAAAAATCCTACTATTGCGTTGTGTAATTTATAATATAAAAATAAATTTCTTACCTTTAAATATCCGGAATCCACTAATGTTTTTAGGAACCCGGTCCTAGAAAATATTTTTCTTGATTAATAACGTCTGAAATTTATTTTTATAAAACTCTCTTGTTTTATTTTTTTTTTCTAAATATTTCAATTTTTATATTTTTCTCAAACTTATTTTTTCCCTAATAAGTGTTAACGAATCCTGGTACCACTGCACCAATATTTTACTTGTAAATATATTAATTTCCAATAATTTCTTTATTCAAAATATATTTTAATTTTCACAATCAAAATCTCATAATGATATCTCATAATAATATAATTTTTTTGTTTCACAATATATTTCAAAAAATCAATTCAATATTCTTCATTTTATAAAATCCCCGACTGAATCAAATTATTAACATCAAATTAAAATAATTTTCACATTTCCATAAAACATGAACATTAAAATTTTATCTCGTATAATATATTTTTCAAAAGTCAAAAGTAAAAAAGTAAACAAAAAAAATACCAAGTGTTTGAATATCAATTCTCGATAAAATAAGACTACAACAGTATTAAAAATACATTATATTTTTTTAAAATATCCTACGTTAATATCAGGAATCCGAACTTGAAGGGCCCCTACTATTCCCAGAACAATAATTGGTTAGAAAAGATGTCAAAAAAACGAGCTGATATTGGTTTACAGGGTTTACCATTCAAAAAAGGAAAAGTGGCAATCATAAAAAGAAAAGGTTCAATCAAAAATGGGAAATTCCTAAAAAGAAAGAAAAAGTGTCAATCAAAAAAAAAATTTTTAATTTTTATTTTATTATTCCTTCTTATTTTATTTCTAATTTTTTGCTAATTTTTTAAGTCATTTTTTGATAATTCATTTTAGTCTTTTTAAAAATAATTTATAAATTTTCTCTGTTGTATTTTTTCACTTCTCTACTCCATTTTTTTAACAATTTTCCTCTTTTTTCATCCTACATAACATATTTTGACTTTTTATAAAAAAAATTTCCTTATATTGTTATCATTTAGATACTCTAACTTTTTCAAACAATTCTTTTTTGTAATTATTTTTAATTTTCACTGAATTTTTTCTCATTGGCAGACAATTTTTTTTATTAGTATTTTTTACATATCAATTATTTAATTACAATTACGATATATAATATAGTAAGAAACAAAAAATAATTCTTTGCATTCTCCTCAGATATTCCTTTCTTTCTATATCTATAAAACGAATTAATTCCTCGTTATTGTGATTTTGCTGACAAAATCCTTCTATTCAAAAAACACATTTTCTATGGAATTAAGATAAGGATTGTAAGGTGTAAATATTTTGTTATATGCCCTCTTCTTTCTATTGATTCCTTAATTGTATGGTTATGATGAAATGGAACATTATCCATCACAAAAATCATATTCATCATGTTACCTTCTTCAAATGATTAAATATTTCATTTACAAAGTTGCTAAAGTGTATAGCGTTGTAGGGGCCCTCAGAAACCTCGAATCTGAATATTCTTGCAAACGTGAGAGCAACAATGATTATCCCTTGAACACTTTTAAATAGTATTCCGCTCTCATCGATAAATGTAAATTTTTCTTTCATTTATGCTACATCTAAAAACTAATTCGCTTATTCTTTGCGAATCTCGATATTTTATTCTGTATTTTATTTAACTGAACTTAGTGATACTCTTTTAAAGCTATACCTAAATCCAGATGGTAACCTTTATACCCTATTTTTTGATATTTCCACATTATATATTTCTTTAATCATTTCACATAACCTTTTTAAGGATAAGGTGCAATCCAAATTTATACATTTTAATATATATTCCTCCTGTTCTTGATTCAATTTCTTGCTTGCACGTGAACCTCCTTTGGGTAAACTATATTTTATTTCATTTTTGAGATGTAAGTATTTAATATTTGTCACTGTTTTATAGCTTACTTTAAAACATGATGCTATATTTTTGATACTATCCTTTTTTAATCAATTATTAGAGCTTTTGTTTCATTGTTAATGTTTTTCCCCTTGTTTTTTCCATATCTTCATAATTTTTTAAAACAAAAAAAATTTCTTTTTAACATATTATTCAACATGAATGACAAAAAAAACTAAAATCTTTTAGATTATAACATTTATCTCATTTTACGTTTAATTATTTATAAACCAAAGAATATAGTAATAAAAATAATTACAAAACAATTATTTATATGCTCAAAAGTATTGAATGCTTCTTGCATAATTAAAATTTAAAAAATAAGAATTTAAATATGATATATTTTATTAATTTTGCATATCGTTTGGTATTACAGTTTAAACTTATTTAATTTTAATGAGGTACATTATAACCGAACGATTAATTTAATTCAGCAATTGTAATTAAATAATTTGATATGCAAAAAATTATCTGCCAATTGAGAAATAAATATTAAGGGAAAATTAAAAAAAATTATCAAAAATGAGAAAATATAAAAAATAAATAAGACTTAAAATTGAAAAAGTTAGAAATGTATATAAAAGAAATTAATATAAGGAGAAAAAATTATAATGGGTCAAAATATTGTTATGCAGGATGAAAAAAAGAGGAAAGAATTGCTAAAAAATGGAGTAGAGAAGTGAAGAAAAATAACCGGGAAAATTTATAAATTAATTTTTTTTTAAAAAATGAATTATCAAAAATGAGAAGAATAATAAATTGAGGAAAGATAAGAAAAATAAATATTAAAAAAATGACTTCAAGAATTAGCAAAAAGTTAGACATAAAATAAGAAGGAATTATAAAAATTTAAGAAAAATAATTATTTAAAACTATTTAAAAAATAATCATTTTCCTTTTTTTGACACATTTCCTTTCCTTTTGAAAATTTTCCTTTTTTGATTGGACCTTTTTTCTTTTTAATTGACACTTTTCCTTTTTTGATTGAACCTTTTCCTTTTTTGTTTGACACTTTTCCTTTTTTGATTAAGACTTTTCATTTTTTGAATGGGAAACCCTTAAAACCAAATGTAAGTTTAGCTATTTTGTAATTATTTATACTTTTATAATTTTTATTAATTGTAATTATTCACAAAATATAAAGTCTTTTAAAAGTAATGATAAAAAGGGGATATAATAAAAATTATCAAAATTAGTAATTTTTTATATGGAGCTATTTCTTTAATACTATTCACCAATTAAAATTGTAAATCATTCAGTTCAAGATGCAATCTAATCACATCCATATATAGATATGTATAAAATAATTGTTAGATTTTAATAAAACATTTTAAAATTTTCATTACAGAAAAATACAGAGGCCTTTATCAAAAAATTAGCTAGGCGTCTTCACAAATTCTTAATTTTATTTCTAAAAAAACGTAAATAAAAATTATTTTTTAATTCAAGGTCATTATGATATACGTCCTCGAGTTCTCGACCCAAAACTTGTGTCCAGTTTTTGGCTAAGTTGACTAGACTTAGGTGATTTTTGATAAAGATTTTCTTACAAAATAAGGTTTAAGTTGAGGGTTTCCTGGACATACCCTTAATGTAACTTTTAAATTCAAATAATTAAATCTAAAATATGTACATTTTCCTCTAAAAAAATAAAGGTATTATTTAGGCCACATTTATCACATGAACGAAAATAAAATTAGCGTCAAAGACCTGGCTTCCGATTATTATTTTACGGCTCTTGATCTTCATTCGTCAAGCCCAGTGCGAACTTACGATATATTGAGACCTATATTTTGAATTCTATATTTGAAAAATATCTTTCTATAATATTTATTTAATCCCTCCTAGCCAATTATGAACAAATTAAATTATAAATGGAGGTATTCTTTTAAAAAAAATTCATTTAAAAATCAGTACTGTAACCAGATATTTCCTCTTTATAATTTGTATATTTAGTCTGTTATGCTAAAATTGCTTGCAATAGACTCTTAAAACTAATAGTATTCATATCTCATATCCATTTTTGACAGGGTTTTATTGATACATATATCTCGATATTAGTATGTGATGATGATCATATATTGGTAAATAGATTGTTGTAAATGTTTTCGTGCAATATTGTTTTCTTTTTAAATTTCCACAAATTCCGTTTGGGTGCAGGTAAAAATTTTATATATCAGAACAGGTCCCTTAAATTAGACTCACGCTATAGTTTCGGGCCATGAATACTGTACATTTAATTAACATTTTTTAAGATGTAAAAGGATTTAATTTTTTACATATATCTATCACCATTATGGCCGAGCTACTAAAATTTTTATTATAAATATTTTTTTTAATGTAATTTATTGTTAAATTATATATTTTAATTACATTTATCATAGATTTATTGTTTATCACATGTTGCGTTATTATGTTATTTTTACTTGCATATATTGTATCTAATATATTAAAAAATGTATTGCGAAAAATAACATATTTTTTTAAAAAAAATAAAATTCACTTTTACTAGATTGTTTAAAATATTAACTACTCTCAGAATTTTAAGAATCAGCCAATTTTATAATTATTCTTATAATATAAAAGATTATATTTTATCAACTAATTTTTAAAAAAATGAAAAAGACATTTTAAAAAAAATTAAACAATTTAAAAAGAAAAAGAACTTTTTTTTCTTTAAAAATAAACATGGGAGAGAGCAAAAAAAATAACTCTCATTGAGATCCTAGTAAACTAATGTTCTGTTCACCAGGACGCCTCATCACTTCAGTCAACCTATTCACCTAAGATATTTAATATTCTAAGTTTGGTTTTAGTATCTAAATCTTCAGCTAGAAAATATATATTTAACAAATATTTCACCTTCTCTGCTCTTTTTCTTTAATGCATTTTCAAATCCTAAAAATATATTAAAACTCCGGTTTTAAAAAAAATTTCTACTCAGTTACAGGATTTAATTAAAGCCAAGATAAAAATTACAAATTTCCTAAGATTTGCAATAAATTTTTACAAACGAAGTACTACAAAAATTTACAATTATCTAAGATTTATACTAAATGAAGATTACATAGATGTAAAGCAATTTTAATAATATTTTCGAAAGTAGTTTGTATCAAAAAAATAGGTAATATAAATTATCTTTTTCTTTTTTATTAATTTAATAATCAAAGTTTTATAAAGTAATTAGAATAACAAGTGAACTGCATATATTATAACATATAGGCTGCATCCAAAATGTTTTGAAGAAATCTTTAAATTTTTCGCAAATAATAAAACACTCTGGATACATTTAAGTTTTAAAAAAATTAAAATATTCAAAATGCTTGATATGATTCAATTAATAGTTATTTATTTGAACCTATTATTTGATAATGGTTAAATCAAAATTTATTTATATACTTAATAAATACATATATGTTGTAAATAATTGTATCAATATTTAATAAACAGTTTGAAAACCAATAAATTTTTTTGAAAGATAATTTTTCCATAAAATATATATAAATTTTATATTTGAATTATATAAAAAAAAAGTACTAGAAATAATATAATATCCTTTAAAAGTAGGAATAGGAATATTTTTATTAATAACTCTAGGCTTTTCATTTTCTTTGTTGGCATTATCTTGATCTAGCTATTATTCAATAATAAATATCAAATAATAGTAATATAATGTACAGAAATTTTAGTATCATCAAAAGAATCAATAGACATATTTTGCCCAATATTTATATAATTAAGTGGGTTAGCAATTTCAATAAGGTATGATGTAGCCTAATAAAATATATTTGGTAATATCAATATTTTCTTTAACTATATTATTGTTCAACATAATTAAATTATAATAGAATTTTTTTTTACCAGATTTTGTTAGGTGAAAGAATATAATTAATTAAATTTAGCCTTTACAGATAAAATGTTCTTTTTCACTATATCATATTTCAAGTTGTGTTTTTCCTATTATTTTCTCCAAAATTTTTCTATTTTCTATAGAATATCTGAATTTTAAGTCATTTTTGCACCAAAGATTCCTTTGCACTCAAATAAATTTTTATAAATACTGAGAAATGAAATTGGACACCATTTTATTTTTTTCTTCAAAATTTATATTTTTATGATTTTGGACACAGCCTTAAAAAAATTTGTTAAAAATAGTCCTCCTCTGATGACGTCCAGGAATCTTTAAATAATTTAAAATTGTAACATAATATTTCAAGGCTGATTTTTTTAAATAAAAAGGGCCCTTGAGATTGTTGTTTTATGGCTCTTTTGACTAATTAGTTTTATTAGAGATTTAACCTTTCCCAAATGAGAAGTTTGTTGAAACCACAATGGGTATAAATATAATGTCGGCTAGCTGTGAATATTTTTGGGATTTTCTTTTATCCGCTATACCAAATCTAATGGATCGTAATAAAAATGTCTATATATGTATTTTCCAATAGGTGATTAACCTATGCCCATCATCCGTTAGTAATAACAGAAGTATCCCGTGATTTGAAATGTAAAGGAACATTGGCATTGAATAATGAATCTTGGATTATTTTATTTATTCTTTCGTGTCTTTCATATTTGTATCGCACGAGACAATGGAGTCTATGTCTAGCTTAATATCAACTGTTACCCCACATCTTTTATGTAGGGTAGAAATATGTCTATCTAAATTCCTTATTTGTCAAAAAATATTTATTTAACATGCATGGATAAGCTAACCCGTAGCCTGTTTTATCCATTACCAATGAACGAAGGTTAGTACTCTGCTGTGTGTCAATGCTCAAAAGTAGATAATCGAGGGAGTATGATGCAATTGCAAAATCCCAGTCCTTTTATAAATTGAAAAATGGATAAATTGTTCCAAAGGATGTGTTAGCAGACCAACATAACAAAGCATTGTTTTACATGGTGTCCTTAAAAGATTTAATTAATTTGAGAATTAAATTTTTTTTTAATAATGATAAAATAAATAAGCTAAGGCAAGGATAGCCAAGTCAGTCAGATTTTGTTGGTAAGTCTATTTTGTTGAAATTTAAGGTTGACTGCATTCTCTAATATCGATTTAAATTTTTATTCATATTTTAGAAGTATAGATGTATAAATAAACGCCAGATAATCTGGAGCAGAAGATACCATTTTCCAATTGGTGACCCGAGAACGAAGACTTTATCTTTAATCATACGAGTACAATAATTGTGAGTGAAAAATTTGTAGTTGTATTTCATATTTTTAATAATTTAAGGACAAATTCAGTGTCGTTGCTAGCCTTCACAATCTCAGGGGGCTCAACTAAAAAAAATATATGGAGGGCTTCGCCCCCATACCCCCCAATTTTCGGGTTTTCGGCCCCGGGTTTTATATTAATATATTATACTTTTTTAAAATTTGTTAACTCTTAACAATTATTCTGATTTTCATATTTTGTCATTTATTATATTATGCATACAAAATAAACTGGCATATAAAAAACGACATAATGCAATAATATAATTCTTAGCAACTTACATTGACAAAAGGTTATCAAACTAGTATAACTCTCTATTACCATTTTAGACATTGTTTTATAGACTTGACTAATAAGGAAAAATTTATAGGCCTAAACTAAATCAACAATTTTTGAAGTAGAAAGTATAAACGACCAATCCAAATCATAAAACTATATGGTGGTTAGAGCTCCCTCTTAGATGACATGATGGAAGCTAGATAAGTAATCTAGAAAATTATTGTGAGAGATTAAATTGATAAAAGATTATCTTCCATTTTAACTGATATATAAACGACAACACAGTTGACCATTATTGTTTATCTAAAATATGCAATTATATGCTCTCAGCCGTTATAGTAATAATATTAAATTACATAGCAACACAAATAATAGATGCTGGTTGATTTGCAGTAATCGCCATGACACTCACGATGTAAACTAATATCAGAATTTATTATGTTGGATAAATTGTAAAATAAAAGCACTAAAAATCTTTGGGATAAATAATTATGCAAATATATTGAAGCCTGGAGTTATTTACACGGCAATGCCATATTAGAAATGAAACATTTTCTAACTATAAAATAAAGACCAGAATGATATGAAGAAACAATTAAGATTTTATATATTGTCGCACCACCTTGTCATATTATATCTTAAAATAATAATAGTTAGTGATAATATCAAAAATATACTTGTATTAAAAATTTAACTCAAGACTGTTTTTAGAAAAAGAAAAAAATAGCTTTCCTAAAAACATGTAAAAAAGAGAATAAAAGATATCAAATTTATTACATCTGCAATATGAATAATAAAATGTTTAATTTTTAAAATTATTTATAACTAATTATTAGAGGGCGTTAAATACTTGAATGCAATTTGTTATTATATTTATTATCAACCAGTTTTTAGTAAAATTTATTATAATATTAACTGTAATATATTGTATAACTGTCAAATACGTCAATAAAGGTGGCATTATATTTAATATTTTATAAACAACTATATATAGTAGAGGATTATAAACTATATGTCTACTTACTTTTTATAAAGAAATCTCTTATTATACTTATTTGGACCTTGAAAATATTTTTAAGATATGATAATAAAATTTAAAAATAAATATACAGTTGATATTAGTTATTTTGAACTCGGCTAATTACAATATCAAATTTGTTAATTTTCAAATAATATATGATTATATTTATTTAATTAAGGTTAAATAATAATTTAAATAATAAAAGTCAATTAAACTTCAACTGTTAAAGCTTTAATATTTAGTGAGTTATTAATATTATATTTTTAATACAGAATTTGATTGCAAGCTGACATTGTGAAAATATAATTTATACGTATTAATCCTAATCTAATAATTAAAATAATATTTATTTAATAAAAATTTAAATAATTTTATTAATTTCTAAATAATAAAATTATATCTATATATTACTTAACGGAATTATAAAAGAAATCATGGGCAATCAAAAAAAATTATTTTTTTTAGTTCAAGGGGATATTAAGGAGCCATTAAAAAAAAAATTTGCTTCAGGGGGCTAATCAAATTTTTCAGGGGGTGAGCCCCTGCGCGCCCTCCCCCTAGCGACGCCACTGGACAAAATTAGTTGTTGAGAATTTAAAATGATGATATCTACAGCTTTAATTATCTCACTGATAGGACCCGATAATGTGGTATCATCAAAATACCAAACATTGAGATCGAAATTACAGTTGTTTTATATCTTTAAGAAACTTCATAAAATATATGGTAAATAATTTTTTAATTCTTGCATATATATGTCGTAATTTTTAAAGGGATCATCACGGGTTTTAAAAGGATAACTAAAAAATTAGGGTTTTAAGTTAAGGAATGATAATATGGTATTATCACGTTTTAATCGTGATAAAGAGGAATCTTATTTTAA